ATCATTTAAATAAATTATATTACACTACATCTTTTGTATATTGTCATGAATAAGATGATTATTTTTTCATCTTTTAAACAAAATATTGAAATAATTAAAAAAAGAAAATTTAATAGTATTTTAGTCAATTTTAACGGAAATTATTTTTTTCCCCTTGTAGAAATTTATCACTATAGTAACGCCAATTTATCACTTATTTCGAGTACTCAACCACTTCTTTCGAGTACTTAATTATTATACTTATTTTGAGTACTTAAATTACTGCGTAATCAGTATTTTAAGAACTCGAAATAAGTGATTAATTGACGTTACTAGTGATAAATTTCTACAAGGAGAAAATAATAATTTCGGTTAAAATTAACTAACACACTATTAAATTTTCTTTTTTTAATTATTTCAATATTTTGTTTGAAAAATACATTAAAAGAAGAAAAAAATGACCATCTTATTAATGACAATATATTCATTTTTCTTCAAGTTATAAATATTTAAAATTTAAAAAATTTTTTAAAGTCAATATTTTTAAAAATATATAACTCGGAAATTAATGAAGATAAAAATCTAAAATTCATGAAAGCTACTTTCAATAGATATAAAAAGATAAGGCAAATAAAAAATGGTCGGGGAAAAAAGTCGTTGATTTGGTATGGAATTCCCAATATATATATATATATATTATTGGTATAAAATATAAATATAAAGTACAAAAAGAAAAATTTTCAATTAATATATTATATATTATATATTATACATTATATAATATATACATATAAATTTATTACATATTTTTAAAATTTTGAAGTGCAACTGAAATGTGGTACATTACTTATGTCGAATAAATTAGAAAGAAAATGCAAATCAAATAAAAAAGTTTGAAATATCAGTTAATATAATTAAAGTAAAGGTAAATGCTTTGATATATTGCACTTATTTATTTCAATGTGTTAGTTTGCTTAATATTGAGATATAAAACATTATACAATTATATTATATATATATATATATATATATATATATATATATATTTATATATATTTATGTAATAAAAATTCACTTTAGTAAATCAATTATTTATTAATAGTTTAATAGGTATATATTTATTAAAATTAGTTTTAATTAATACACATTAGTTTATAGATATATATTTTATTTATTATAAAAAGAAAGTTTATGTAAATATCATAATAATTTATTGCCATCATACAAAAATAAAGACATAAATATAACACACTATATATATATATATTAGTAATTTATATTAATTTTTGAAATAAAAGTAATTATAATCACTTCTTACTAAAACCTATATAAAGAAATAATAAATTGCAAAGTATTTCATGCCCATGGGCGTCCGCAGAGGGAGACGAGAGGGGGCATTTGCCCCCTCTTTGAAATTAGTAAAAAAGTTAAGCATTTACTCTCCTTGTGAATAAACACTGGAATTTATCTGCAATTTTATGTAATATCCCTATAATAGTACAGCACAACATATCTGAAAGATATTCAGAGGATATTCAAAGGATATCCAAAGGACATTCGAACATCCTCAGGATGTTCTCTAAACGTCTTCGGGATACGTGTGCTGTTAGGGATAAAAATATTAAAATATAATAATAAAATATTAAAATAAAAAAATTATTAAAAATTTGAATTTAAAAAATTAAGGGAGAATATAATAGGAAACAAAAAAATTTAATCATGCCTCTCCCTGGAAAAAATTCCTGCAAACGCCCATGTTCATGTTTTTTTTGCATATTTTGATAGAAAATTTAAATTAAATTCTAAAAAATGTATATAACTTAATTATGTTAGAGAATTAGAAAGTTAATCTTAATAAATATTTGTCCTTTTTTAACAAAAATAATAAGAAAGCAATTAATAATATGAGTCATCCATTAATATGAAATGCTTCACTTCGAATCAATTATCCATATAATATAAAAATAATTTGATATTATATTATGATGAAAAATATGATAATATGATCTTTTTGTTATTTTTATCATATAAAAGAATGTGTATTAGAGAATTAAATTTTAAAAAAGAACCAATTGTAAATATTCTAAGAAAATAAATAGAAAAAGGGTTCAATCATTAAAAATATATTTTCGTCAAAAAATTTAAGTTTTTTTTTTATAAGAATGCTACAGTTAAATATTGAGAAATTTTGCGATCGAGCAATTGAAATTAGAATATCCAAGGACGTAGAACGCGACAAAACAATACGCGTGCAACACTAAAATAAGGAATATCGATTTTGTGACTTGTCATAGTACGTATATACATATATAGTACTATAAAAGGAATACGCAATTTCATCTACGATGCGATATCTGTTCGGATCTGGCAGAAGAAGTTCAGGGAAAAAGGAGAGAGATAAGGAATCTTTTAAATTATGTCGTCATTATGTATATAATATAATCAATTTTTAAATCAAATTTTTTAAAATTTATTTTACTTTAACAGAAAAAATAATAATATAAAAATATAAGAATAAAATAATAAAACCGTATAAAATAATAACAGTAAATAAAAATATTGTATACTGTTAAATTGGAACGTTGTAATAAAAGTCAAATAAAAATATAAAATGTGTTAATAAATCGACCACAACTGGCAATGTTATTCTTTAGTTATTTATTCAAAATTCAGACATGTTTCGACCTTAGTTCAGGTCCTTATCAAGTCTGCTAAGAAATAAATTGACACATTTCTACATAATAAAATTCATACTAAAATTCGTCCTACGTTTGTTGGACATTAACGTCGTGATATTAGAAAACGAACTAAGGAAATAAGTCAAATAGTTCTTGAGATATTTAAATTTAATAATATAAAAAATTAAATTTAAAAATAGATAGGCACGTATATACCCAGACAGCACACAATATTTATAATAAAGATTTATAAATATTTATTAATATATATATTTTTTAAATATTATATAAATATATAAATATTTTGAAAATGTTTTATAAAAATCTTTACTTATTATCTTTACATATTATTAAAACAGAGAATAAATATTTTATATAATATTTATGGTATGTAAAAATAAATATTTATAGTAATGATTTTGTAAATATTTTTTTATTAAATGTTAGTTCTTTTACACATACACATTTACCGCTATGTGACTATCTCAAGGAGAACAGAAGGTCAAAATGATGTCAATTTGAAGTCATATTGACTAAATACTGACCAAAAAATGACATAAATTTAGTCAATATGACGTCAAATTGACATCATTTTGACTTTTCTGTTCTCCTTGGGAGCTTTCTCGTATTTGATTTTTGTCGTGAGAATTATATAAGGCTGGCAAAAATGGAAATTAAATGTCATAAAATTATTTCTATTTTTGAGCTACATACAAAACAAAAAAAAATATTCTGCAACAGAAAAACGTAGGACGAATTTTAAACAAATTTTACGTATATATCGATGTGTACGTAAATTGATTTGTTGATTTGTACGTAAACTACTCTGTTGCCTAAGTATATTCAGTGTATATATTATAATTTTATATTCTATTTTAAAATAAATGTCTAATCAAAAGTAACTTATAAACATTTTTTTACACATTTTTAACTTTTTATAAATGGCTAATATAGAGTTTGAAAAACACAAAAACATTTAATCGACCAAATTTTAGATTAGACTACATCAACTGATTATTTTGATTAAAAAATCGTTGATTATGTCTTTTTAACTCATGATTTCTTACTGAGTATTTATTAGAGAAAATATAAATTTAAAAAATCTGTATCATAATGATTTCTTTTCCAAGGTTTTATCAAGAAAAAAATATATATATATTCAGTAATTTCAATATATATATATATATATATATATATATATATATATATATATATACCCATACAGCACCGATAGATTGCAAAAATATTACAACAATTTTTCACCGCAATATTGCAATATTGCAAATTCACTGCAAAATGTTGCTACATCATTGCTGTTGAATTGTAGCAATGTTAAAATGTCCGCTTTTTGGAAGATTGCAACAAAATATTACAACAATATTGCAATGTTATGAATTTGCAATAATGCATTGTTATTGCAACCATAAACTAATGTTGCATATACAGGTATATAAATGTAAATAAATCATTAATGAAAATACGTTGTAGTTAATTTATATATATTACAATATATAAATTATAGAATTTGGATTACATGCAATATTTCCGAAATATTAATGTCATGTTGCTACAAGTGTGCTGGAATTTTGTGCACCTATATCTCTGCAATGTCTTTATAATGTTGCATTGCAACTTGCAACATTGCAACGTTGCTGCAATATAATTGCAATAATCTGTGCTGTATGGGTATACACACACAAAATAATCTATATTAATTATAAAAAAAAAGAATAAATTCTGAAGAGAATTTGACAGTTTTGTTCAGCAGTTTTGAGGGATTAAATCCACATTTAAATGATTCAGGATTTTTCAGGATTTCTTTTTCAATATTTTATTAAGAAAAAATAAATAAGAATAAAATGATTAATAATAAAAAATTGATAATAAAAAATTATGATTTTATTTGAGAATATAATATATATAAGAGAAATCAATAAAGAGTAATTTTAAAATATATGTATTAAAAATAAAAAAATAATTTAATTATATAAAAAAAATGAAGAGTAGAATTTAGGGATCAAATTCACATCAAATGGGTCGAGATTTTTTTATAGGATTTTCTTCCAGAGATCTTATATCGAGATAGAAAAATTAAATATATGAAAATGATGCTCCCCGCTGAATCAGCTTTCGCCGCTGCTCAAGAAGGTAGCGAATTCTATCGCAGGGAAGCGGCATCTCAGGCGCGCGCTGCAGGATCGAGTCGAGAAAGTCACTCGAGTGGTCCAGGGTGGGTGTCGGGGGGATGTTGGTGGGGGTGTGAGTGGGGATGTGCGTACGATATATATACATATATATACATGTGTATATACGGGAACCCACCACGTAGTGGAGGAGGCTCCGCGAGGCTTTGGACGACATCGGTTCAGTCGGTGAATGTACCGCGGTGCGAGTGGGTAGGGTCGCCTACCTGGAACCTGGAACGCACCGAAGAGTTCATCGCTGGAGACTCACCATCTCTCTCTTTCTCCGTATATCTCGACTGGTTCTCTCCGAAACTGCCTCTCTCCAAGTGTGTACCTCCTCGTGCTCCCGTCCACCCTCATCAAGCGGATCCTTACGGGGGTGCCGGACATGGACGAGGAGGTGATGAACGCTGACGAGGTGACCGTCCGTCCTGGGCGCGGCGAACCCCTGGGGGAGCGAGAGCTCTGTAAAAGCTGAATTAAGTATACGAAGCGCCCTTGGGAGAGATCATCATCGGCCGGCATGTGCACGCGGTCTTGCCGGAGAGGGGTCATCTCGGCTTGGATCATCAGCATCATCAGCCTCATCCTTCTCCGGTGGAGCGCTACCGCGGGGAGCGCGATAACCCCAGCGTGTAACGTCACCGCCGACGGGCGGGAGCTGTTGTGTCGCGGCGCCGATTTGTTCTCCGTCGAGCCGATCCGAAACGTTCATCTCTTACGGACCGTTAACGTCACCAAAATGTGAGTATACAACTTCGCAACTTCAAGAGAGAGCCAATCTCGGCGGCCGAGATTGGAACATCCACAGCTGATCGGGTTTGGTTGATGGTTTCTGTCAATAAGATCCTCGTACATTGTTAGACGCTCAAAAATGGATCGTCTAATTACAAATAAAGCACTTTTGCTAAAATAATAAATATATTGTATTTGTCCAAAACTTAGTTAGAAAGATACAACCTAATATACATGGCCAAAATTGGGAACGTGCAAAAAGTATGACCCGTTTCCAAAGTGGCCACAAATCTGATGGTATTTGGTATTGGATTTTATTATTCCATTGCTTATTGTTTTTCTCAATAATGAAAATATTTATTGGATTAAGTTACAAAATAAAGCGCTTTTGCTAAAAAAATAAAATATATTGTATTTGTCAAAAACTTAGTTATACATACATGGCAAAAATTGAGAACGTGCAAAAAATGATGACCCGTTTCCAAATTGGCCACAAATTTGATGGTATTCGGTATTAGATTTTATTATTCCATTGTTTATTGTTTTTCTCAATAATGAAAATATCTATGTATTGGAATAAGTACGCAAGATGTAACTGGAAAAAACGTATATAAAGCACACCATCATTTTGTGATCAATTTGGAAACGGGTCAATAATTTTGTGTCATCATTTTTTTGCACGTTCTCAATTTTTGTCATCTTATACCTTTATAACTCTAAGTCTTAAATTAAAATTCTATTAAAAAAGTAAACTCTACCTAAAATTAACTGAAGAATGTAGATTGTTTTTCTCGATGATAAAAATATCTATAGTTGCGTATATTGGGTTATAAGTATACAAAGTGTAGCTGAAAAAAACATACATGAAACATACCATCAGATTCTGTAACTAATTTGGAAACGGGTCATCATTTTTTGCATGTTCCCAATTTTACCCATCTTGATTTTTGTAACTAACAATAAATCTTAAATTAAAATTCTATTAAAGTAACTCTACCTAAAATTAACCGAAGAATATAGTTTTGTTAATATTTTAACTCCACAAACTTTAGTTTGCAAGAAAACCTTTGTGTTCAATTATTTATATCTTGAAAATTATTGGTGTCTCGCTATTTTCACCGAGAAAAATTCGTTTCAAAATTAGTCAAAGAATTTGATGCTGTCCTCCGAATATGTTTGTTCAGTTACACCCTGTATATGCATCGAAAAAATGACGCACAAATGATGCCTGAAATTTGTCCCTGTAAAATGCATTTAGAGAGGATAAACGATGAATAGACACTTGACATCGCGCGGCCTACATACGGTTCTAGCCGCGGGCTTTCCAGACCCGTATATCTATGTATCTCTTTAAAAAGTCTCAAGAATCAGTTTAATTAAAATCAAGAATATACAAGGTGTCCCAGACCTATTGCAGAACCTGTTAATGACAGATTCCCGCAAAATGTCGAGGGAGACCATTATTTTTTGCATGTTCTGAATTTTTGCCATCATATATATATATATATATATATATATATATATATATATATCTTAAATTTTTGTAACTAAATTAAATTCTATTAAAGTAAATCTGAAATTAACTGAAGAATCTACACTGAAAAAAATATTTATTTAAAATTACATGATTATGCTAGATTTTTTCCAACCCAGCATAATCATACAATATTGCTACTTATATGAAAGATTACAGATTATATGTAACTTTATATGAAATATATTCTTAAATATTTTCAAGATTAAAAATATTTCACTGAACATGAAATTACACATAGGAAATGCTAGTAATGTACATATAAATGGTATAAAATAATGTTATAAATAAAATTGATAAATACTCATAAAATAAAGTTCTAATAAAGTAAAAATAGTAAATTTAAAATTACATATGATTTTTGCATAAAAATAGTAATTTTACCTATATTATAAATGTATTTTTACATTAATATGTATTTTCACTTTAAAAGAAATCGAAAAATAAATTACAGTGATAGGCAAGTAATTTTCCAATTCTGAACAAGTAATTTTTATGTAAAAATACATGGATTTTTTTTAGTGTAGTTTTGTTAATATTTTATTTCCACAAAACACTTTTATTTCCAAAAAATCTTTTATTTTTGACTGCTTATAATTCGAAAGTTATGTATAAGATGTCCCGACATTTTCATTGAGGAAAAATCCTAGGAATTTGCCATTTAGATTTTATGGTAGGTCTGGAACCCTTATATATTTTTTCTTGATTTTTAATTATATAATAATTTTTTCCTTATATATTTTTTATATATTTTTTCTTGATTTTTTAATTATATAATAATTTTATATAAAATAATAATTTTAATATATAATATAATATTTTTTTCTTGACATTTAAATTGTATATATTACTGATAATTAAAATTATAATTAAAATATCAGGAAAAAATTATTAAAAATTGTTATTACTATTTACATATTAAAATTATTATTATTACATAGTTAAAAAAATGAGGAAAAAATATATATTCCTGATTTTAATTATACTTATACTTTTGTAAGTATTGCGTTTCGCAATAAGAAAGCCGCGGGATATATTCGCGAAAGAGAGCAGCGATTCTTCAAGCATATAATTAACTATGCACGCTATGTACCTTATTTGAGGCGTGTGTGTGTGTTCTTTTCTCCATAGATTTTTTCTCCGATTTATCGTTATTTTTATTAATTTTTTTTACCGCATTTATTCTTATACTACTTATATATAAAAGTTATCGCGGAGACGGGAACTTTCGATTGAGCGATATATGTATATATATATTCGGAGGACACCATAGTATATATATATATATATATATATATATATATATATATACTATAGGTGGTAAAATAAAAGAAGTGACGTACTATGCGTGATGCGCCCTACATACCAAATGAAATGACAGTCGATATTCTATGAATCGTGATTTAGGAGCGCAAAAGCAGGGGGAAACAAGCGGAATTTTTATGTCGATGCTCCGATTCTTTTTTCGCGGACAGAATCGCGCTGGCGATTTTATTTTCCGTCGCTATAAAAAAGCGCGTGTGCTACTTTTTTGCTCTTCTAATATGTACTTCGCCGATAAACTCGCGCGAAAACCAGCAAATCGATCTAATTCGCCCTCCTATGCTTTTTCTCTCTCTGGACAAACAATATCCCGGTTTTTTTGCAAGTCGGCTATTTTTAGTCGCTTTTTGGAAAAAAATATATAAATAGACGTAACACATTATCGTTCTTGCGTCACTTCGTCTCAATCTTTCTTTCTTGTATTTTTTTTATTTTTATAAAATTATTTATTTGTTATTTAATCTATATAGAATAATTATATAGATTAAATTTAAGAGTACAAATATATGAATCGTATTGCTTTAAAAAACAATATTAAAAAATAAAATATTATATTTTTTATATATTTTATATATTTTTTAAAAATATTTGTGTTACCTAAAACCTAAAATTATATTTTGTAAAAAAAGAAAAAAAAGAGAAACAAGATGAAATGATTAAAAAAATATACTAAAGATATAAATTTCGCGTCACTTCGTCTCAATTTTTCTTTTTCTTGTATTTTTTTTCTATTTATATAAAATTATATATTTATGTCTACTTAATACTTAGAATTATATCGATTGAACTTGAGAGTACAAATATGATTTGTATTGTTCTTTAAAAAACAATATTAAAAAATATAATATTATATTTTTTATATTTTTCAAAAATATTTGTGTTACCTAAAACCTAAAATTTAAAAAAATGGAAAAAACACATGATGGAAAATGATTAAAAAATATATAATAAAAATAAAAAATATAATATAAAATATAAAATATTAAAAAAAATTGTTTTACTTGTATGAATTTAAGCGATACGATCTATTTGTTCCCTTAAATTTAATCAATTTTCGAGAAACGACGAGGGGTATCAAGAATTTTCTTCCGGATCGTTTATACTTGAATTGAATATATATAAATAATTCATCATTGTGATATATCGATGATAATTTATTGATAGATTCCTTTATATATGTATAACGTATAGGTTTGTATAACTTGATGTTCTTTCGTTAATATTATTAAGAATACGGAAGGTGCGCCTCTCATCATGCTTTTTCATCATTCTTCTCACGTTTCGGCGCGTGATGTCTATTGTGAAAGTAATTTCATTCCCGAAGTTGATTCACTTTATCCGTGAAACGATATATAAAGGCGACTGGAATTGCGTCGGAATTGTTCTTGTATGTCCGTCCTTTTTTGGTACATTTTGTATTATACTAGTTTACTAAAAAAATATTTTTTTCATTATTTTAAACCAAAAGTGTTTCTTATAAATTTATGAAAGCTGAAGACGATGTAGCAAGCCAATTTTCACCATCACGTCAGGTTTTCGAAATAATTGAGGTTTAATATGCAAAAAATGGCTTTTTTGCGATATTTTAAATTTCTTTTATGAAAATGATTAATGTTATCTGGAAATTCTGATCAGATATGTCATGTTTATTCCTTATAAAATGTATTTTTTTATTTCGATATCTTAATTTATAGCCATGTTAGGAAGGATTTAATTACAGAGTTTTGTGCAGATATATTCCGACCAGATGATGAAGTCATATAATATATAATTATACTCATAATTTGTATATTATATTATATTGATATACATACACATAATGTAACTTATCGTAATAAATTCTACTAAATGTATATTTATATATAGAGTGTCTCATTTTAATTATTTATCTTAAATTTTTCGAAAAATGCATTTTTGAAAAAATTGTCCAGGCAAAATACAAAAATTGTATGATCTAAAAGGGGACGAATAATAGTAAAATCAATTTTGGAAAAAATAATTTTTCTTAAAATACCTTTTTTCCTCACAAACATTTCCGTATAAAAAGTGTAGTTTTCCACCTTTAATCTTTTATAACATAGCTAAAAAGATATTGAAATAAAAAAAGCATTTCATAGGGAATGAACAATACATTCATGATATTTGATCAGACTTCTCAGATAACGTTAACCTTTTTTACATAAAAATCTCAAATATCGTAAAAAAGCCACTTTTTATACATTCTTCAAATCTTAATTATTTTGAAAATTTAACGAAATTTTCCAGCTAGCAAGTATATATCATTTTGACGTCATTTTGACGTTTAATGGCGTCAGTTTGCTACTGTGGCTAGATTTGCGGTATCGTTTTTAGCACTCAAAAATCTATAAAAAAAAACACTTCATCTTGTTCAAAATAATTTTTGTTTGTAGATTTCTAGTGTTATTGAAAGTTTTGCAAAATGTGCCGTATATATAACTTCTTCTTTTCTGGAAGATATTTTTTTACGGCGATACTTTAATATTTTAAAATAATGAGCAAGCCAGGTAGCAAGCGTCATTTTGACGTCATTAGACGGCAAATGACGTCATTAGCTGGCAAAATGACGTCATTTTGACGTAGATAAATTCATAAAACGTACTCAAATTGTATAAAAGCGTCGGGGAGTACAAAAGACTGGCAAATTCAAGGTGTCCTTGAACATGAAGCGTTGAAAGTTTTCAAAGGCCTGTAAGTCCGTAAGGGGAAATCACGGTTCCCGTAAGCGTAATTAGAATCCAATGTTCGTACGCGCCGAGAAAGTTCCATTGAAACTTAAAAAAAATATATAATAAAAGAAGAGCGCGCGAAAGTAACGTAAGACGCTCCGCGATCTCTGACCATGTTTTTTCTATTTTAAGATGAATGAATGAGAGGAAAAATACTGTGAGCTCAATTCACAGACAGACAAGGATTGCATCATTTTTTCTCTTTCTCCCTTTTTTTGTCAAAATTTGTGTTGAATGTTCAACAATGTTTTTGAAAATATATGCACGTAAAAAATATTAAATATCTCAAATTTAAAAAAAAATGACAAATTTATTATTGTAAATATATAAAGTATAAATAAGAAAGAATATAATACATAATATACAGGGTATTTACCTAACAATAAGTATATAAAAAATTAAATGAAATATTCCTTGGCTTATTTTAGGATGAAAAAGTCTTATAAACATATGTCCTGCTTTATTTTCAAAATATAGGGTGTCAAAGTTATGAAAAAAATAAGAAAAATATAGGGGTTGAATAGACACATCTCAAACTTCGAAGCTTCGAAATACTAAATAGAATAAGCAAGTGATTTAGTGATACGATTATTATCAGTTTTCAATTTACAGTTTTTGCATCAGTTTTTATAGTTTTTAATTTTTATCTTAACTCAAAAATGGTTTATTGTTTAAAAAAAAAAGAAAAAAATATAAGAAGTTTTTTGTGCAGATTTAGTTCAGGGTTAAAAAAAATTGTTAAACTTTAAAAAACAATAATTTGAATAAAACATCTTTAAACATTTGGCAGATTTTTAAAATTTTCTTATTATTTTTCTCACAACTTTAACACCCTGTATCTTTTAGAGAGAACATTTGTTTATATAGGATTTGTTTTTTCTAAAATAAGCCAAGGCAGATTCTCTTCTATTTTTTGTACTTTCTTAGGAAACACTATATTTTATATATAATATATATTACACAAAAATTCCAATTTTAAAAATTTTTTAAGATATTAGAATTTTTTTTCTTGATCCTTAAAATTTCGAAATAAAAGTGTCTATTAATATTTTATTTAAATATTCTTATTTGATTAATTGGAATATAAAATACCAAAAGTATGACTTTAAAAAAAATTTCAAAAATGGTCATAAAAAATTGAAAATATTTGAACTTCCTTTTCGGCTCAAAAAATTGTGTTTTCAAGTCTATAAAATAAATTTAAAAAAAAATCAGAGGTTTTATTGAGGGAAAAAAATAACTACTATTAATTTTTTTTTATTTTGTAAATATTATTTTGAAAAATACATTTAAAAAAACACGAAAATGAATTTTTTAATGACAATATTTTAATTTTTTTAATTACAGGTATGTGGAATATTTTTAGATCAAATTTAAAAAAAATTATAACTCGGAAATTGATAGAGATAAAAATCTAAGAACATTCATAAAAGTTATTTTCAATATATATATATGTGTACTAAAACATGAAAAAAATGAAACAAATTAAAAATGGTCGGGACAAAAAATGATTGATTGGTATAAAATATGCTCCAACATGTAATATATATTATATACAATATATTTATTGCATATAATATATATTATATAATATAATTTATATATATACATATATATCACACAATAGTGTCACGTAAGTCCGTTAATGGCGATTGCGTGCTAGCGAGGTTGTTGTGTCGGCCAAATAACTCACTCGTTAGCCATTTGCAATAACAATCTTACATAAATCCATGACAGATTTCCCTTATTTCGCTTATATTAAACGATAAAAACCATCCGTTCTTGTTAGGCACGAATTCTCCTTCAATTTCCTTTCAATAGTAATTACTCATCTCTCGTTGTTATTACAGTTGAATAACATTTCGCGTTACCCAACAAAGCTTTTCCTCCCTTCTCTCTCATTACTATATAGAACCCTCCCTTTGCGCCCTCCCGCCTCCCTTTTGCTAAACGAATAAGTAGACATCGATCCATCCCGAGTCGGAGGAAGGTCGAAGGACCCATAAAAATCCACGCTAGAGAAAATCCAGCCCCTCCGGTCCTTTCTTCTCTCGACTCGCGACACGAGCGTGTAAAAGCGATTCGCTAGTTTTCCTCAACAGTGTCCCCCTTTTTTTTTATCGCCCACGTTATGCCCGTAAAAGCTCTCTGGGATTCTTAACCGATGTTTCACGTTAATCTCTACGTGTCGCTCGTTTCGATATATATATATATATATATATATATATATATGTATATATATCGCTCGAAGCGTGATTACTTCATTTCATCACTTCGATTATTCGATAAGTATATACTCTGACTTAGGACCGGTTTTTCAATAATAGTTTAAACTTAGATCGAGGTTCTAAGATTTATCAAAATTTTTGCATAATAAATTTTTGCGTGAAAAATAAATTAATAAAAAAAATTAATAAGAAAGTTAATTAATAACAAAAATAAAAATTAATAAAAAAAATAATTAATAAAAGAATAAAAAATTAAAAAATAAAAATTAATAAAAAAATAAAAATTAATCAAATAAATTAATAAATTAATAAAATAAAAATATACTTTAGGCGTGCGATACACTTTAAAGGGACCCATCCCAATGACATAAGCTGAACTTTTACTTGAACCGCAGACAAGATTGCTAGAAAGAAAGAGGGAGAGTCCTTGTTACAGAAAGAACTTCGTCCATTTTTATAGGTCCTCTGGGATCAGGGATGAGACATGTACCAAATTGTAAGCTATTATGAGAGGATTGAAAATTTATAGGTGCCAATGTCTAAAACATTCGTCGATCAATGTTGGTGTACCATTTTGTTATTTATGCTTATAAAATGCTTTCACGTTTGCATTAAATTGATGATTTTTTTTATAGTTGAACCTGGCTGTCAGAATTTTCATTTTTTTTATTCATCCTTTCCTAAAGATTTCTTTCTGCATCCAAGATATCTTTTCGTGGAATTTATCTTGGACAGTTCTAACATGATGAGCGATTAAACGAATAAATGGCGGAGATTTGAAGATCCAAAACTATTTTTTTTAATACTAAATACTACCATTATTATATCTACAAAATTATGTCTAATGACTGAGTCCAAAATGGGCGAACATCTTTGATAAAGTCTCTATATTAAGAGTGCGGAAGAGCAAGAATTATATTAAGAGATCATCGAGTCTATGTTTTCGTAAGCGAGCACAATCAGCCTCGTATATGCAATGATTTCTCTCACTTGTAAGAGAATCTTTCGTAAAAGAATTTTATTTTTAGAAGACATCGCCCCGCGTAAGAGATGATCCTTCGCCAGTAAAACATCATTTTTGCGCGCCTGTTTCGCTCTCCGCAAATCTCGCACATATACATTTATTTTAATTGATATATAGCCGAATATTTCATCTGAAACTATAATGGCTGCAACGAGAAAATATTAGAGGGTGGTTCTAAAAAAAGAACTGACCTAGATTGACCTTTAAACAACCTTGAAAAATGAACTTAGTTAAAAATTAAAATTATCAATTTTTTTCCTAAACATTATTTTAGGAAAAAATATTCGAGTCGTTTTAGTCTAGTAAAAAAACTATATTGACCTTCAAATGACCTTGAAAAAAGAACTTAATTAAAATTCAAGATTATCGATTTTTTCCTAAAAAATTTGTTAGAATATTTTTTGAATTTTAACAAAATTCATTTTTTCAAGGTTATTTGGTCAATCTAGTTTGTTTTTTTATGGAACACCCTAATATTTTTTTCGTTGTAGTCATTAATTCTTGTTGAAACTTTTTAACTTTTTGTGTGACATATACATATACCATATATTTTCTCATTACATAGTTTCAGAGATATTCGACTATATTAATTAATTGAAATAAAATATATTCCTATATAAAAAGAAAAAATTACGCGAATGTATTTTCTCTAGTGTTCAAACACCAGATATATATGTTGTCGGGAACATATGATGAGGGATATTCGATTCTCATGTGTTATAGTTATAGCTTTAGCTGCGAAAGCTTCTTATACTACCTTGTAAAGTGCGATGTCTAGAATTACTTTCTTATATATATCTGTTTCAGTGATTTAACCAACAATAATATAACGGACATTCCAATAGGTGCTTTCCATCAATTTCTCAACCTCGAAATTTTGTAAGTATATGTGCATTTATTGTATACATATGCATAAATAAGTCTTTCTTTTTAATCCATAAAAAATTTTTTAAATTAAAATAAACATTAAATTTTCGCGAAAAAATCCAAAATTATAATCATATACATATAAATATATATCATAATTGCGTACATAAAATTATGTCCGTATATTTTTTCTTTCTATTATACAATCTCTATTTGTAAATACTGAAAAAAATAATGAAAAGATTAATTAAAAAATAATTTAAAAAAAATATTTTTTGCATTTTTTTTAAGAAAAGTGAAATTTGAAGAAATGAGAAATAAAAGTTATTTACATATAATCAATATAAAAATATATAAAATTATACGTATATGTAATATATATATAAAAAATATTGTATAATCTAATCGCGTAATTCTATATTTTCGAAAAAAGATAATAAATTATTTTTTAAATTATTTTTCTACTATATATTTCTTGCGTAAAGAAATCTTGCGATAGAAAAGAATATGTATATGGATTTCTATTATATAACTATATATACATATATAAATGTATGTATATATATGTATATATATATGTTGTGATTTTGATTACTGAAAGTTTTGACTACTGAAAATACGTTTGTTGTAATCAAAATCACAACATGGCATATAATTCACTAAATTTTGTTGGTCATGTGGATATCATAAATAGCGTTTACAATATTAACAACGAGTTCACATAACATATAGATTTCAAAATAAATGTAATGACAACTTCGCCCCGGCCTCTCCTACATACGAGTACATAAGAATTTTTTCTTTCTCGGAATATTCACATGTACCACACTTTACTTTTAGATTTCTTCGACGTAATCACTTGCAAACCATTCACAACGACGCGTTTATAAATTTGGGGAGCCTTTGTGTACTGTAAGTATTTAAAAAAATATATACAAAATTGTCTATCTTCATGCACTGTGTTCTGTATAAAATTTCTCCGTGTCTTATCTCTTCCTCAGAGAACTTGATGAGAATTATTTGACTAATATACCGGTTGCTGTTGTAAATCTACCTGGCCTCAAAGATTTGTAAGTATCTCTGCGTTGTCCAGAAGAAATTTTAATTACTTAACGCACGGATTTTATTTGCGACAAAATGGCAAATAATTATATTTTTCGTGATAATGTAAAATAAAGCACTGCCCGAATTAATTTGGGGGAAGAATGTTATTTCCGGGATCGATAGGTATCTTTGATAGATTTTTAATCGAGAAAAAAATTTCACAAAACTATGCGCTACAATCAAGTAATTTTTTATATTGGTGTTCCAATATTTTAATTCTTTTTTAAAAAATTGAAAAAACTCTGCAAACAATTTTTACGGAAATTGGATTTCGGTGGAATTGGCTAGTTTTTTTCACATTTGGAATTGTAGTTTATGATCTGCTGAACAAAAGATGAAATATAGCCTCAAAGCTAAATGATGGACAGTTACTGAGCTATATAGCCAGTCAAACAATCTGATTTTATCAGGATAGAATTTCATCCACTATTTCATATAGATTCAAAAACCCCACACTAATTCTATAAAATTGAATCTCGACAAGATCAGCTGGTTCTTTCGTACATTATTTTAACTTATGATCTGCCAAATAAAAACTGTAAGGTAGATTCAAAACTAAATAATAATAGATAGTTATTACTAATTTGCAGCTAATCAAACATTGGCTGCAACTATCCATTATTTATAGCTTTGAAGCTATTACATCTTTTATTCAAGAAGTCACAAACTACAAAACATGCGAAAAAAACCAACCAATTTCACCAGTTTCCATAAAATATTATACATAGAGTCCTTAAAAAATTTTTTAAAAGTTGAAAGGTCACTTTTATGATTTTTCATCAAATTTTTTAATATAAACAATCTAATATTAATTTAATCTGAAATAGGTTTGAGTTAGATTTTTTTGGGGTTGGGACACAATTTATTGTTAGGTTTGCGCGTTAAGAGGTTATAATCTTCTACAATTGCCTCGTTAAAATTGAGATACTTTTTGTCTATTTACTTATTTTTGAGTGTGACCTAAGCTTTCATAATTTTTTTTATGCAGATCTATATCGAACAATAGAATAGAACAACTCGCAGGAGATGCGTTGCGCCATGCTGATGATTTGGTGTCGCTCGATTTGCGCGGAAATCCCATTAAGGAGATACACGAGGAGACTTTCCAAAATCTTGGTAAACTTCGTAAATTGTAAGTAATTTACACGCATTTCTCTTATCCGTGTTTATCCGCAAAATTGCACGCGACAATTGCTTTTATTAATTATAGGATAATATCGAATGCAAAGGAGTTACGGTTTTTTCCTAATCTGAATGGAGCGACATCATTGGAGATATTGAGATTAGATCGTTCCCAGCTGAAGAAAGTACCTTCTGATCTTTGCCGACAATGTCCGAAACTCAAAAGTCTGTAAGTTTGAAGAGTTACAGAATTTTGTAATAAATCATCAAGTGTTAAAGTCTGCTCTTTTTAACTAAACTGTTGCACTAGTTCAGAGTTTATCTCTTTTCTTCCTATATGGTGTAAAAGATGAACTCTGAACTAGAATAGCCAGTTTAGCTAAAAAGAACAAACCTAAAGATTTGTAAACCACAATATTCATCTTGACTAAAGAGCCAAACGCGATGTTATTGCGACAAATTTAGATAAGAAAATTGGAAACTAAGGAATTTGAATCCTATGGTTGGGATCTCAAAAATTCTCCTTGTTCCTTCTCTTAACATCCCCTGTAAAGAAATAGACGAGAAAAATATTGGTCCGAAAGTCGGCTGAATCGGGAATCGAACCCGAGACCTTCCGCTTGCCGGGCGACTGCTCTTCCAACTAAAGATTTGTGTTTTTTAAATACATTTTACATCATCTCTGATTTTAGTAACATGAAATCCAATCATTTGACGGAGATACCAAATTTACGAGACTGCAATGAACTCCGCGTTTTGTAAGTATGTAATATATAATACATACGTATACATAAATTATCGAACGTATGAAAAAAGGCACACTATAAACGATGTAAATTTTTTCTTCTTTTAGAGATTTAGCTAGTAATATGATTTCCACGTTACCTGACGACGCCTTTAAAGGTCTAAATATGTTGCACGATTTACTTTTGTCCCATAATAATCTGCAAAATATCTCCAGCGACGCGTTCACCGGATTACCTAGACTTCAGGTTCTGTAAGTGCGACATATATTTGACTTTAATTACTTTGATTCGATTAATCTTTATTTATTTCTACAGTTAATTATTATTTTTTAGAGATTTAGAGAGCAATTACATCGAATATATACATCCCGACGCATTTAGAGAAACAAAACGTTTACAGGACCTGTAAGTATGGTTGTGCAAACTCAACCATTTTGCAACCTCCCTACTTCTAATAATTTCATTAAATCAGTTTGTTTATTCGTAGAAATTTGGGAAACAATATTTTTCCTACACTGCCAATAAGGGGTCTCGCGGGACTGTTACATCTCAAGACGTTCAACAATCCTGCCCTGCGTGAATTTCCGTCACCCGAAAGATTCCCACGTGTACAAACAATGTTGCTGTCATACGCTTATCACTGCTGCTCGTTCCTATCGATCGAAGAAGTGGAGGAGTCTGCCACGAGGTCGCCGGTACGGGAATCGATTTTGTTTCCCACCGACGATTTTGATAGCAGTTTATGGAACTCCACCTTTAGCGATATTTGGCCACAATTGGGTAAGTGATTTTTTCTCTCTCTTGTTTTATTTTTTTTATATATTTTTCTCTTTACTCTTTACATTCTACATTTTGCATCCTACATTTTCAACATATATATGCATCGTACTTTTTTTTAACACTTAACTGCTGCAAAGCATCTCGGTTGTTTAAAAAGCATTTACACATTTATTATTCGATGGACGGGATGAAGAGCAAAGTATCTTCTCGCAACATCGCAATCATGTCACATCATCGTCTTCGATCTTTGCGGCACTGAAGTGTGATAACATTTTTTAGATAACTTGACCGACAAATTTGGATCGCAGATAAATGAACTTTGGGCTAACTTTGGTTCAGATTTTACCTATCCCGGAAACCTGCCTTCCTACGTAGAGGATTATTTCGAGGATCTAGACTCACGAACGACAACTCGGACACTCGTACCCTCTCGCATCCAATGTTTGCCGCAACCCGGTATGTTATTACAAGTGGCCTAGAAATGCTACGAACTGGTGGCGATGTTCGACATGTTTTATGTATTCTTGATTAATTTGCATACGAACTATTTTCAGGTCCTTTCCTACCATGCCAAGACTTGTTCGATTGGTGGACTTTACGGTGCGGCGTTTGGATAGTCTTCCTGCTCGCCATGCTCGGTAATGGCACCGTAGTGTTTGTCTTGATATTTTCGAGAAGCAAAATGGATGTGCCGCGATTTTTAGTCTGCAACTTGGCTGCTGCCGACTTCTTCATGGGTGTCTATCTAGGTGATTCTCTCGTTTATCTCTTTCATATATATCGACTCAACATGTTATTCTTATACATGTATATAGATCTACACTTTACATATTTGCTATATACTAAACTAAACAAAGGTATACGAAATTCATTATCAGGTGCAGGGCAACATATTAAATCGAAAAACTCTGATTGTGAGCCATTTTTAAATCTAATTGTGAGCTTTATTTTTGACGCTATATATTGTTAAAGTTTGCCAATTAGCGTGTGGCTAAGCCTTAATAGGCCACGCCTACTAAGGCGATGCCTACGCTGTTTTCCGTTTTCTAATTGGCAAACTTTAATAATTTATAGCATCAAAAATAAAGCTCAAATTAAAAAATGGCTCAGGACTTTTCGATTTAGTTTGTCGTTTTGCACCGATTTCGTATACTTTGTTTAGTTACACCCTGTATATATTTAGAGAGTTATTCAAAATGATTTATTTGATTTTAAACGACTATATTTTGAAGTTTATAAATATACATAGATTAGTGCTTATAGGTGTCCAAGTTTTGTTTTTTCACCTTTTAAGTGCTCAAAGTGACTTCTCTTACGTAGTTACATATATCACTAATCATTATGTATTTGTAAACTTCAAAAGTGTAATCATTTAAAATGGATAGCGTCCAATTGGACATATTGATTAATTGAACACAGAACTTTCTAATTAATCAATCATGCTAATTATCCTCAGTAATCGGTCAAAATATAAGTGATTGTGTCCAATAGCGCACTGTATTCATTTGAGTTTATTCGAAATCGGATGAATCATTTTGAATAACCCTGTATTATACTAGCGAAATACGTTATTTCGATGAACGAAATTTTTCTTCAGGTTTATTGGCCGTCGTCGATGCATCAACGTTGGGGGAATTTCGAATGTACGCGATACCATGGCAAATGTCACCCGGATGTCAACTGGCTGGTTTTCTAGGTGTCCTCAGCTCCGAATTGAGCGTCTACACCCTCGCTGTGATCACTTTGGAAAGAAACTACGCAATAACGCATGCGATGCACTTGAACAAGCGGCTCTCGCTGAAGCACGCGGGTTACATTATGACGATAGGCTGGTGCTTTGCTCTGTCAATGGCTAGTCTACCGCTATTAGGAGTTTCGGATTACAGAAAATTCGCCATCTGTTTGCCATTCGAAACCAACGGCAGCGCGGCGCTCGCGTACGTGGTATTTCTCATGCTCATCAACGGAGTTGCCTTTCTGATACTGATGGGCTGCTACCTGAAGATGTACTGCGCGATACGCGGCTCTCAGGCGTGGAACTCGAACGACTCTCGTATAGCGAAGAGAATGGCTCTGCTCGTTTTCACCGATTTTCTCTGCTGGTCGCCAATAGCCTTCTTCTCCCTCACAGCGACCTTCGGATTGCAATTAGTGTCCCTGGAGCAGGCGAAGGTCTTCGCGGTGTTCATCTTACCGCTCAACTCCTGCTGCAATCCCTTCCTATACGCGATTCTTACAAAGCAGTTTAAGAAGGACTGCGTGTTGATATGCAAGGCGATCGAGGAGTCTCGAGTGACCCGAGGTATCGGCAGGTGCCGGCACAGTTCCAATTTCAGCAATCGGCAAACACCGGCGAACACCAACAGCCTGGTCGATCGGTCGTCGCGGGAGAACCAGGGCCCGCTCCAAGCCGCTCCGTCGTGCGTCTGCGCGAATTCCCGACTACTGGAAACTGGGAGCCGTTGCTCATCCTACCGCTGGTGGAGCGCCGGCTCGATCTTCTGGCCATGCGCGCGCGACTCCAGGCACGCGCGTCACGCGCGCAGCGATCAGTATGCTTACCAGATCGCCCAGATCCAGCAGAAGCAGCACAAGCGCGCGTCCTCGGTATCATCCAGCGAGAACTTCTCCTCGTCCAGGTCGGACTCCTGGCGGCAGACACATCACTGCGGCATTCCGCTCCGGCTGCTGGACCCGAAACGCAGAGCCTCCTCCTGGCTGATCACCAGGAAGCCGTCGCAGGACTCAAACCTGAGTTCGTCCCGGAATGACTCCTCGGGCTCCGCAACCACTGCCAGCACCAGTACCTGGCGCATCTCGAGATCCAGTGCCTCTTTAGAGATTAGCGCGCGTAGCAATACGCCGAGGCCGGTTAGACCGAAGCCACGACTGACACGTCAACTCGCCATTCAGGAACCCGAACCCCCGGGGTCCCCTGGTAGACTGGCCGTTAGATTATTGGCCACGATACCTTCCGCAGCTGAGACCAGCGATCAGCAAGACGATGAGAATGTACCGACAAATTGAACATTTCTATTCCCGGTTCTATTTTTATGTATTATACACAATACATGATGCGCGCGCGATATTTTTTAATAAGTGTGTCATTCTCATCAGACGAATTCTTTAACACAAAGTTCAGTATTAACGATCTTCGCTGGTATACCTGTGTAGTTTGTAGCTATATGTACGTATATATTTATATTTATGGCATTTTATATACATCTTTAGAATTGTTGCTTAAGCGAAGTAGAGTGCGCAAAATGTGAGCATAATAGAGATTTCATAAACGGTGTAATATATAAGATGTCTCATTTTAAATGATGACCTCAAATATCTTTTAAGTGAAGCATTTTGGGGAAAAATATTTCAAACTAAAGTGATAGAGTTCAAAGAGAACTAGTGGATGATTTTATTGGATTTTGGATCGGGAGTTTATTTTGGGTCCAGTAGAGCCCAAAATACTTTTTTAAAATTAGAACCCTTATTTTTTAGTGCAGATTTGGATTCTATGCCTCAAAATAAAAAAAATTGTTCTTTTTTGTTAAATTCTGTCATCCAATAAGGCTCAAAACATTGTTTAAAGTTATTATTATGTAATTCATTACAAAACTTTTTTTGCATACAGTCTTAAAAATGTTGAGTTCAAAGCAGGCCAGTAGATGATCTTATTAGATTTTGGATCAGGAGTTCATTTTGGATTCAGTAGAGCCCAAAATAATTTTTGTAAATTAAAACCCCTATGTTTTAATGTATATATTTGGATTTTATGCCTCAAAATAAAACAATTTTGTTCTTTTTTTGTTAAACTCTCCAATAGGCCCAAAACATTGTTTAAAGTTATTATATTATATATGTAATTCATTGCAACATGTCGATTTTTGGCATATAGTCTTAAAAATGTTGAGTTCAAGAAAAAATTGTTTTTGAGGTTTGAAAATGACAATCTGATGGTTAAATTGAATATTGGGTCCATGTCCCAAGTTAAGGCCTAATAATACTCAATAATACTCAATAAGACCCAGACCAATTTTTTTAGATGAAATCCACCAATTCTTATCGCTCTGATCCAGATTTTACAGATATTCAATTCAAACAGTTTTTGAAAGATTGGTTAAATTTTGGGTCTGATTAAGCAGCTATAAACTTTTGATTGAAACATTTTTCTATAAAATGCTTTATTTAAAAGATATTTGAGGTTGTCACTTCAAATGGGACACCCTGTTTATATTATAATAAGTGATTTTTCGAACCGATTTTTTTTTCGTTTTTTGATTGATGTTAGGTGATTCGTATCTGAATTTTAATAAGAGACGAATTTTTAAAAAAATTTTTTGCTTATAAAATCAACTCGTCAAAAGTTACTTGGGAATATGTCCTTGACAACGCATGTCAAGATCATTGACTTTTGAACGGACTAGGCTTGTCTGAATATTTATTCTTTTTTTTTTTTTAACAGAATTTAAAAAAAAAATACGCTCATACGTCTAAAGAAATAATCAATAAATGCAATTGTTCTTGCAATGAAATGTAAATCAGATTGAGACTATAAAGTCAAACATATGGCACTGATCTGCCATTTCTGTTGAATTAATAATTGAATTATAGACGTTTTAACAAATATAAAAATGTAGTCCATCCGTCCGTCCGTATATGTATATATTAATTATATATATATATATATATATATATATATATATGTGTTATGTTTTTATGTTACATAAGACTGACTATGGGTTCTTCAACTCTGTACCATTTGTACAATCATTGTTGATCAAAGAGCCTCCAACTACTAGTCTCAGTAGACAGTAGTCATTCGATAGTTGTTACATCGAACTATATACATAATGATTTTAATTTATATAGCAAATAAATCTACATAATAATATATCTAATAACGGTTCTTTAATATAGCATAATACATCCGAAAGATATCAGAGGATGTCCAGAGGACATTTGAACATCCTCAGGATGTTCTCTGAACGTCTTCGAGATATGTGCTGTTAGGGATTTTACCGTTCTATAAGTATTATATAAGATTTTGAGCCAAATCACACACAGTTTACCTCTTGCGCGATGTTTAAATAATCTTGATAATGGCGTGATAATAATGCTTATATTTATTGGAAGATTATATATTTTACTGTACGGACGGAGAGTCATCGTATCTGTGCCGCTATCAAATGTAAACATTGCGTAGAGGCAGTTTTATTTAATAAATTTCGTATATATATATATATATATATACAGAACTGTTTTTTAAAGAATGCATGTGAATATACGGGGTGTTCCATAGGAAATTGTTGAAACTAATCAGCTGTCATTTTTAATACCCTAGATAACACAAGCGCACGCTTCGCGCGCGCTAAACAAACTTTTTCTTTGCGAGGGTACATAATTTTAATTTGCTGAATTTCAATTATGTACATAACTTTAATTCTCGAGTTTCTATTATATACATAATTTTAATTCATTAAAATTTGGGAATTCAAATTATGTACATAATAGAACACATCATTTTTACATTACGAGGAGCTCGAATGCTACGCACCTACCCTAACTACGAATATATATCGCAACGCGCCAGCATTCAATCAGCATCGCAGAAAAAGAGGCTTCAACGCTTCGATATATTCGAGTAATCGACTTAACATACACTTTTTAAAGAAAGGATGTAGTTATTGAGAAAACAAAAATTGTGTTGGAAAGAGGAAAGTTGCAGTTTTTAATGGATATAAATAAAATATTTGTATACCAGTTTATTTTATCGATAAAAAGTAATGAAAAAAGTACTATATTTTTTAATGGATATAAATAAAATGTGATTTTATGTGATTATTAGCACTTTTTTAATTACTTTTTATCAATCCCTTATAGAATCCTTATAGAAATTTATCACTAGTAACGCCAATTTATCACTCATTTCGAGTACTTAATCACTTAATTTCGAGTACTTAAATTACTGTATATTAGTATTTTAAGTACTCGAAATAAGTGATTAATTGGCGTTACTAGTGATAAATTTCTACAAGGGAAATTTATTACTAGTAACACCAATTAATCACTTATTTCGAGTACTTAAAATACTGATATACGCAGTGATTTAAATACTCGAAATAAGTGATAAATTGACGTTACTATAGTGATAAATTTCTATAAGAGATAAAATAAACTAATATACAAACATTTTATTTACATCTATTAAAAACTGCTGACTTCTTTTTCCAACACAATTTTTTCTTAATAACTGTATGCATTAAAAAATGACAACTGATTATAGTTTTAGCAATTTTTTATGGGACACTCTGTATATTCACTTCGAAATTATTAGTGACATCGACAAATATTTGACAAAAATTGTATAGTTTCAAAAATTGTGTAATTTGATGTCAATATTTCCTTCAAATAATCTTAAATACGAAATTTTATATTTAAATTAATTCTCATAAAAGATATAAATATGCTAATATATTAGTGTGAAGAGATTGTACGAAAAATAAATAAATTATTTATCGAGTGTAAAAATATAATGTATTGACAATAGGTGATCTTTACTTTAAATATTTAATTAAATAATAAATTAATAAATTTTCCTTGAAACGGTTGAACAATTTCATATACCTTGATCAATAGTTTCAGAAATATAGAGAAGAAATCGATATTAATTACCCTCATCAGCATGTGCATTTGCATCAAGCATTGATCGAATGACGATCGATGATTTTATTCATTAACTTCGATTCTGTTATGATAAGCTTATTGTTAGAATAAAATATCTTGAACCTGATATTTTTGTCTTTTGATAAGATATATTTTGTTAACAGAACTCTTATAGAAATTTATCACTAGTAACACCAATTTATTACTTATTTCGAGTACTTAATCACTTATTTCGAGCACTTAAATTACTGTATATCAGTATTTTAAATACTCGAAATAAGTGATTAATTGGCGTTACTAGTGATAAATTTCTACAAGGGAAGACAAATTAATTGGTGTATAATTCATATTCTTAAAGTAATTAATTTTTTATTAATCTTTTTATTATAAAAAAATTATTCCATTTTTTATAAATAAATATTGTATAAATTTATAATTTCTTTTGCAAATAATTGGGAAATTTATTATTGAATTGAACAAGTAATATTTTTCAACATATGTGATCTTATTATAATAGACATACATTATCAATCTATTTTTGTTTAGTACATTATTCATTGACGATAAGTATCAAGATTTTATCTGTAAGACACCCTCATAATATTATCATTCGTTTGAATCGCAATAAAGTTTCCGATTCATTTGCAAAATAATTTATGAATTTATACAATATTTATTGAAAAATGGATTTATGAAAAATGGAATAATTTTTTTATAATAAAAAGATTAATAAAAAATTAATTACTTTAAGAATAAGAGCGTAATATTTTTCAAAAGATCTTATTACGAATAATAGAATCAATATAGTAAAAGAGGCCAGTATAACGAGCATTAAATAGAATGTTAGAATCAGAGGGTGGAGTTCCGAATAGGTGAATTCTCCGATTTTTTTGAAACTACACTATTTTTTATATTTTTGAATGCTGATTACGAATATAATAATGAAAATTTGCGACAAGGTCATTTTCAAAGTCAAAACTCAAAAAAACTGAAAAAATATAACTTTTTAGACCTTAATTCAATAAATATTAATGTAACAAAAAAATGTTTCAAATAAAAGTTGCAGTTCTTATTCAATTCAATTCAAGTTTATTCCGGACTCCTTGTAAGTTGCGTTTTCAAGGGGACCGCCAAACCCCTTAACATCCTCCTTCTCCCGTTACAGTATGATACAATATGTTACATATGTGGCGCTTTTTTCTGATAGGAGCGTTCCCGAACCTTTACAATCCTCCTCTGACTACTCATTACAATCCATATCCCTTCTTCCTGGCGCTTTTTTCTGATAGGAGCGTTCCCAAACTTCTATGATCCCTTTTATTCCATTCGCACCTACTCTCCCCTTTCCTCCTTCTTCCATTTCCTTACTCCTTGGTACCTATTACGGTTATTTGGGTGAGTTTGCTCACGAGATAAAAATCACAAAAATGAGAGATTCACTAGATTTTGACCAATAGAAGCGTAGACAACCTAGTGAATCTCTCACTTTGTGATTTTTACTTCGTGAGCAAACTCACCCAAAGAACCGTAACAAGTACTCTTGTCTCCAATTCCTCTCCTTCCTAATCCATTTTTTCTCCTTCTCCTTCCAGCCGAACCATGCAGGCATGTAGGGTGAATGGCCCGAATTGGATTCAAACCTGGGATCTTAGGCATACTGTCTTACGACTTAACCTACTGGTTTACCATTTCACCCCCGTTGCAGTTCTTATAAAAATACACCATTTATCTTCTATACATTTTTTGCGTAAAACTGATAGTTTTCGAAAAAATCGATATTAAAGACCAAAAACGGCGGGTGAAGTTCCGAAAAGTGCTCACCTCTGATTTTTTTGAAATTCAGTATTCTCACGTATTTTGATGCGCTAATTACGAATATCATAGCGAAAATTGGCGCATCTCTCATTTTCATTGTGAAAATTATGAAAAACCCATAACCCATTATCTCAATAAATACGAAAACTCATGATAAATATTTTAGACAAAAGTTTCAGATTTTACAGAGAAAAACATTTATGTCCTATTACTTTTTACCGTATACAAGTGAGTTTTCAACAAAAACGATGGAATCTAAATCTTATATCTGTTCTCCTTTCTAAGCATGTACTTTGCAGTACATATACGATTCCACATGGGTTTACAACTTTCCACATAGAACGAGGTTCCACGTACACCTATTTTCTAGTTTTTCGGTAGTGGAGCCCTCGCAGGGGGCGGAACCCACTGTTTCCACGCATACACTTTTCCACGCGAAACGAGGTTCCACATGGGTTTGCAACTTACCACGCGAAGCAAGGTTCCACATGGGTTTGCAACTGAGATATGTTGTTTTCGGAACCATGGCTGTTTTTAGTCTTTAACATCGATTTTCTCGAAAACTATAAGTTTTACGCAAAAAATGTATAAAACATAAATAATGTATTTTTATAAGAACTACAACTTTTATTGGAAACATTTTTTGTTACATCAATATTTATCGAAATAAGGTCTAAAAAGTTATATTTTTTCAGTTTTTTGAGTTTTGACTTTGAAAA